ACAAAGCGACCTACAAAAAGTGAAATAAACCATGAAGATACTAACTCAGAACAGCAAGAAATCTGAAAGTATATTCACTTTAAATAAGCCAAACTGTGTATTTATATTTTCACCTACATCCTCTTTAGGATTTAGGACACTTTGGAAAGGAACCTGACGCTTTTGAGCTAAATTCTTCAGATAATTAGTCTGTTTTAAGCTAAACGTCACTAATCTTACCTCCAGGAGTCAGTGTCTGGGTTGTACACTTCAACGCTGTCTACGTTGGTATTGATCTCCTTATCTCCACCAAAGGCATAAAGACACCCCTCTTGTACCACCACTGAGAAGTTGCTTCTAAACTCCAGCATGTCAGCTAGCCTCTTCCAGCTGTCCTGCACAGGGTCATAACTTGCATGTGTGCAATGAAGGTAGAGACGGAAAAGGTGAGACCAGTTTTGTGCACCTATGTGACATATAAATTATTGAAATTAGGAAAAGTATATTTGTAATTACCTGTAGGCGGATTTCATTGTGTCATCCTTGGTGTAGTAGTAACAGCCTCCAATCACATACAACCTTCCCAGTAATGCTGCGAGTCCATGCCTGAACTTTGGCTTGTCTGGCATCTCACCCAGCCTCCTCCACTCCATCGCCTTCACCAACCCTGGGCCACTGCGTAGGGAGTTTGCAAACCAAAGTTCCTTGTTTGGTATGCGCTGACAACCATCTGGGTTCAGCTGGTCTCCACCAACCACAACCAGAGCGTCTTTGGGATGCCGAACCCGGCACTGATCCTGGGTTTCGGGAAGGCTAAAACCAAATTCCTTGAGTGCTGAACCATAGAGTTCCACCTCCTTGTTTCCAAAGCACTCAATGCGTAGGTAAATGGCTCTGACCTCTCTGAACTCTCGAAAGGTCATGAGGGGGAACCGTACTCCGGTCATCAGTCGGCCAGCCTGGCCCAATCTCTCCTCAGGATCAGCTTCAACCCATGAGATTACAGCTCGAAAAACAGTCAACTCTGAAGGCACGCACAGATTATCGCAGTGGATGATATCTAGAAGCTTCTCTGCCGGTAAGTCCTGAAACTTTGGAGTGAGTGACACCTCCCAGAAGTTCCTCCGTACAAAGTCATTGGATTCCACGAGCAACTCTGACATCTCGTAGGCTTCAGCAAAAGAGGCCACGTCAAGGCAGGAGCTTCCTTCCATTTCCTGTCGCATGAAGTTGAGGCAAAGTGAGAGGGCAGGCTGGAATTGAAGCTGGATGGCCGTGCATGTCATCTCGAAGACACAGTCCCAGCTAAGTGGAAGCGTGCCACTGTAGGAGCATCTGATCAGAACGTCTAACTCAGACGCAGATATGAAGGGAAGGGAAATACGGGTTTGATGTGATTCTCTCATACCACAGGTGAACATGCCACGGAAAAAGTCACTGCTTGCTGCAAGGATAACTCTGTGGACTGGAAACAAAAAAAGAAGAGTCAGTCTAGTAGTAAATTACATCATTAACAAGACACCTACCAATAAATGGTATGATTGTCTACTCACCATAGAAAACAGCACCGCCCACATCTAAAATCACGTTACACCCCACTATGTCCAGCCACAACTTCTCAATGGACTGAAGAGTTATCTTCATCTGTTCTAGGGCAGAGTACTTTCGCTCTTCCTTCTTAGGACTTCTACCTTCATTCATCCTCTCCTCTTCACTGCAGAATTCCAGCAATCTAGGGATGTCCAGTGCTTGAGCTGCAGCCACAATAGAGGTTCTGCTCGCTCTGTTCAAGGACAATACGACTCCAGTGTAGGCAAACTCCAAAACTGCCTTTAGCCCAACAAGATCAACCTCAGGAGACAGAGACACTGACCACCTTTTGTCGTCATCATTGTGTATTCGTTCTTCATTTCCATTCCTCAGCCTCTCTTGGATAAAGGAACTGATTGCAGCGAGGATGAGGGAGTGTACGTTAAAGCTTTTTCCATTATGAGTGGTCAGAGTCAGGTCAGTCAGAAGAGAAGATTCCAATAATTCTTTCAAGGCAATGAATATCTCTTTAGGATAGGTTTCATTTCGGTATGTGTGGACATTCCCAAGTCCTTCATGCCCGAATGTGTCCTCATGCATATTCTGCCCAATTCCTTCCTTACAAGTACCAATTATCCTGTCCTCGGACCCCTCTTTCTTACCCATCCCACTCGTGAGCCCCATTCTGGAGTCATTGAAGGCCACAATCCGCCTCAGCTCACGGTTGTCCTGTTCAATCCCTTCTTGGCCACCATCTTCAATCACTCTTTTCCTCCGATCTTTCTCTCTCCTCCATCGTTCTTCCCATTCCATTGGAAGTGTACACCTAGTGAAGTCCATGTCTGCGGATAGGCGTAACTTTTTAACTAACTCCTACCCACAGTTCTTACTGATGAAATACAGCACAATATGTTATCTTGAATTCCTTTAAAGATGAACCTTTTATTAACATATTAACTTTGTCTGCCTCCCCAGATCTTGCTGTCCCACTCTTATCCACCCTCTCTCTCTCTATCTCGGATTCAACTTTGCTCAGTGCAAAACAAGCAGCTATTCATAGCAACTGGGTCACAGAGATCCAGTGGCAGCTGAATCTTGGCCTTAACTCGTTGAAATGTTCATCAAGGAAGAACATAGGGATTCATTTGAGTTAATTGCAGTCAATCAAGAGCCAGATAAAATACTTCCCTAGCATTGACCTCAACTATGACCTTGACCCAGAAACAAACAATTGTCAAGGAGCCGACGGAAACTAGCTGAAGTGTTTTTATGGGAAATGATTGCCTATTTTGTACCTCGTGTAGTTATTACTCATAAAATTATTTTCCACAAAGGATGTTTCATCCATAAACTATAAATATAAATGATTAACCTGGCCTAATTCATCAAGTGTGATAAAGGCTACAGAGTATGTTGTATATTGTGACAGAAAAAGATGATATGGACTTTTGGCACCAACACGAGAGGTTTTTAAAAAATATATGAATTCCTGAACCCAAAAAAAGACCCGGAAAAATAACTATACATTAATCATCTGACTCCATGTCCAGATAACACCTTGTGAACTCTGTGCCAGTGGAAAAGCTGTGTATTTTTCATTAAATGGAGCTACTGTACTTATGACATTTAGCAAAATCCAATTTGTTTGAGCTTAACCAGCTCACCAGTTGTTCTCCACCAAAATCTCTCCTATTAAGTAGGACATTTAGATTATTATCTTAAACGGACATTTTGTAGACATTATCAACAACGTCGACAAAACAAAAGCAATTGACAAATTGCAATGAGGAAATAGGCCAAGTGTTTTATGTTATCTGTTTTTCAGCTTTGATCTACAGTATGCAATAGTTTTGACAAATGATTAACCTGGACCTTTTATAAATGGATGTCTTCACTGTCAGTAAACAGTCCTTCCAATACATCTAACAAGTGCTTTTCAGCCTGAACAATGGAGAGACTGTCAGTGACCATGGTTGTGTGGTTGCTTGCTGCATCACAATGCCAGGAGGCGAAAAATGAAATCCATGCAAACAAGCGGGTAGAGACGGATTCTCTCCAGATTTTAAACCAAGGGCTAGAAGCACCAGTCATATTGACCACAAACTCAACAGAAACCCTGCCAAGCTGTGAGCGACCCATCTACACGGTACTGAAGGAGCTGGGGGCTCTGGAAGAAAAGCTTGCGGCTACTGTGCGAACCCTGGAGGAAACAAACAAAAAGCTAGAGGCCAGTGAGAAGAAGTTGTCTGATCTCGACAGCAGGGTGACTGAACTAAGTACAGTGGATCAAGGTAATGAAGTACAATATACTTATAACCTGTAGTGGGCTTGATTATTCTAGTATGAACATACACCAAAGCTAGAGTTGCACATAATTTATTTTGGCAGACATACATTTATGTAATGACTCTTTGGTATTATCTCTAGCCTTCAAAGTGATTTCCTTTGAAGGGTTAAAGCTTCTTTGACATATTGTGTTAATACAGGGGGATGAGGTCTCAAACACAGACAGGCAAAAAGGAACAGTTCAGGGTTTTAGTGATAAAATGAAGAAAACACAAGCTTACTGGCATAGATAAAAAAGTCCAATCACAAAACACAGAGTCTATCGGTAAACAGAACCAAATAAGTGCAAGTGAGCAGATACACATTCTGGTTAGGTTCTCAAAATCAAGGCACGAAACAACACAATGTCAAGGAGTTCGGTCAAATGACAGGGGAATGACTGGTACATTTGGGTTACTGACTGGCTGATAAGGGGAAAGCAGAACAGGTGAGCCGCTGGGCAGGGGAGGGGTTACTGCAGCCTGAAGAGAGTGGCTGGATGTGGGAGTTTGAAGTCTGTGTGCATCTGCTGGGTAGAAGCCATCAGCGAGATGTAAAGGGACCCTTTTAATTATCTCTCAATATTGTTATATTTTGTTTGTCTCTCAGGAAGGCCTCGGGTTGCATTTTCAGCTGCACTTCCAGTAGATGGCACCATTGGTCCTTTGAATGTCCATTACACTCTGGTGTACAAACGTGTTCTTTCAAACATTGGAGAACGTTACAGCCCAGTCTCAGGTCAGTATTCAATGTCCTACAATTTCACTCTTTCAACTTACAATCACACCTGCTATGGAAGTATTGCAGGATTGATACACAAACTTTTGTTTTTTCTTCTCTCTCTTTCTGTTATTTCTCTACAGGTTATTTTACAGCACCGGTGCAAGGAGTCTATTATTTCACTTTCACTTCCTTCTGTTGGGCTGGTAATGAAAACTGTGGTAGCAGTTTGTTCCTAAATGATAACCAAGTAGTGTCATGGTATAGTTCAGATGATCATAACCCCCACTCTGGCTCTAACAGTGCTGTTTTGCAGCTGCAAGTTGGAGACAACGTGAGTGTTCGTGTCTGGCACAATAGCAGGATTAGTGATAATCACAATAAGTACTGCTCCTTCAGTGGATTTTGGCTTTTCCCTTTGTAAAATAAAATAATTGATCAGTCGGTTTTTTATCAGATCAAACGTTTAATAAGGTGAAAAAAGGCTGTGACTTTAGCTTAACACTTGATGTTGTTTGTTAATTAAAAATGAGAATACAATCGTTGTTTCTAACCTGATTCGTGTTGGAACACATTGGAATTGATAAGACTTGCATTTGTATAATTTCATGAATTAAAAAAATAGCTTTTTAACTGTTTGAATATTTGTTGTGGAAGGTATGTCATGTTAAAATGGTTATATTCTGTACTCGTTCGTGATTTCTAAATGACACGATTGCTAATATTTCTCGATACCTTTGAATCATAATGTACAACATCAATCAATATATCATATTTTTTTATTTTCATTGTTGAGGATGGTGCACCGTCTCTCAAATGGACCATTCAAGTGAATTTATTGGAAAAACATTGAAAATAAAAAAAAAATTCAATTCAATATGCATAATGTTGAACCTGTTACCTTAACTAAATACATAATGTTTAAAGGCAATTTAAAAAGGAAATAAAACCAAAATAAATACTTAAAATGAAATAAATAAAAGTATAATAACCCTTAAAATAACAATCGTTGCATGATTGAAGTTATTGCATACAAAACATTTAAGTAGAATCACACTAGCATCACATTTTACTGTATGGCACATACAGTGTTCAGCTTTGGAAGATATTAGGTTTAATTAAAGGATCTCCCAAATTAACGTATAATTTCAAGTGTTAAAGCTTTGTCCTTCAATACAATGCTGTTGAATACACATGGAGGATGTGTTAAATGGCATCTCTTCTATTTGTCACAACATCTGATTGTTTTAGTTATTTAAAAGTGCTTCTCTATTCCAAATCAGCTCACGAAAAAAATATCTATAATCTTTATGGTACATTCCAAAGTGTAACAAACCATTTGTTTTAGTTACACTCAGCTGAAGGTGATAAGGTGTTCTGGGTAGGCCTGGTTATCGTGGAAGATCACGAACATGGAGGGGTTCTGCTGGTTGTCCACACAACTGTCGAAGCAGTCAGTTTTGTCTGAGCCTCGAGGAGGGGGGGCTTTCAGATCAGAATGGCCGACTGTGTAGCGACCGGTCAGGACTCGAGCCACGTACAGCCTCTTCATGCCTGACGCGTCTGCCGGGGAAAACCTATCAGCCGAATACGCCGCAGTGACTGCAAAGTACACTCCCTTTCCATATACAGCAGCTGTGATAGAATTAAAAAAAAGTAAATGTCAATATTTTTCATTCTGGCAGGCCCTTTATAATCAGCAGATGTAGTAGCCATGCTTTTTGACAGGTTAGAAAGCAAACATATCTGTAATATTTAATTTTGAGTGGTAGCAGTTCCAATTAAAAGACATATACAATTTATTTCTCACTAGTCAAGTTACTAGCTTTTGATATCAACATTTCTATTCTTATATGCTCATTGTAAATATCTTAACTTACAATATGATTTCTGAATTATTCGCATGAAGTCCTTACATTTTTCGACACTAAGCTTAAGAGTTGACAAAGCCGCTGTCCCAGAGAACTGCTGTGATTCCCCTCTGTATAATCTGCGCTACACATATGCTCGTATGGTATACTCTTGGTATCGCTATCAGATTGCAAGCACTATCTGTTCCTGCAGTGGTTAGCTTGTCTGCTATCTCTCACTCCTGTGCGTCTTTAGGAAACTAGCCAGCTTCAGCAAAATGCCTTTTCACCGTTATCGTCACACATGAGTTTTGCAGTAGTGATGGTTTTTACTGAAGTCCTGTAGTTTCCTGTCAGTTCAAAATATGGAGCTTATTGTAGCCAATTCCTGCCCATTCTTTGCGTTTAAACTGTCATGCAATTCATGGTAAACATCCATGCTGTAATTACGGGTCAAACCTGTGCTTTATTTGCGTTCAATTCCTTTTGAGGCGTAAAGTTTTCCAGATAAATCAAGAGCGTGAACGGTGACATCCCTAGTTAAAAAAGGCTTGACATATATTAATTTGGTTGCAGAGAACATCCAAACAAGTCAAATTGTAGCCAGAAGGAGGTTAGCTTAGCATGTTAGAGCATTCCTTACCATGTGCTCCTGCAAAGTTCCTGTCAAATTTGCCCTTTTCAATGCAGTTGCAAGAGTCTGCTGATGTGCCATGGTAGAGAAATTTCTCCCCATCCCCAGCTGTGTCATTCGTGGCTAATAAACGCTTCTTGAGCACAGTATAGCCATACCACAGGAAGGGGTTTTGCACTCGTTCAATCTGAGATCAGAGAAAATGAATGCATTACTTATTCTGTACGGTAGGTGTTACATACTTTCTCAAAAAATAAATATTGACATGTCATTGTAGCAAAAGCAAAAGGTGTAAATAATAGAATTTAAATAATTCAAAAGGCATATTATGAGAATTTTTTTTGTGTCATCATACTCACTTTGTGAATGTTGTATTTAGCCGTTTGGAGGAAGCCCTGCGCTATATTCATGTACTCTGAAGACGTAGGCTGCAGCTCCACCTTTGTAAAGGATCCTTCATGCATAGGTTCCCAATGTGCCGGAAACTCCAAGGCTGATAAATAAAATGATATGTATTTTACACATTGTTGCAAATAAAAAAAACAGAAATCAATTGAAAGTTTAGTTTCGTAAAAAACAGCATACTTGTGTCAGACTCGTTCCTTTTCACTTCGAAGGTGATGCCTGTAAGCTGGTTAGTGGCTTTATTTTCCTTCAGGTTCACGGACACCTTTATTCTGTCTGGTGAGGTGATGTCTACAAAAACTTGTTTCTTCTTGTGAGCCTCCTCCAGAATGTAGTTGTCGTGCAGGCTCAGCTCGCACCAGACTTTATTTGTATCCTGAATTGACCACTGGACATCGAGAGCTAACATTGCTTCATTATTTTCTTCGATGTCTTCGCTAAGTGCTTTTCTGATTGCTTTGTTTATAAGCTCGATGATGGTCAACACGTCCTCTTTCAGGCCTTTCAGCACATAGACCTCTGTTCCTGACCCTGAACGATCTCTAGCTTCAGCTCTGGCTGCGTTTTTTGCTCTGTTCCCATTCCGACCTTCAGAACTTTGACGTTTCTTGTATTCCAGGCTCACTCCTAAGACTTTGAGCTTTGCCTGCACTGCTTCCCGCTCCATGTCATCAAGCCTGGAGAAATCCTCCACATCCACGTCTTTCTCCAACAGCTGATTCTGCAGGATCCCCTCCAAATCTCTCGTCATGGTCCTGATGATGTCCGGACCACAACCAATCACACTTATCACAGCTGGAGGTGGCTTTGAGGATGCGAAGATTTTGCCTTGAAGTGTTGCAGTGGTCCTTGTTCTTGTCTCCTGCCACTTCTTGTGCATTTGTTTAGCTTTTTCTAAGCAAGAAAAAGAGACAAAGGATAAGATAGTCTTCACGTTTTACACACACGCAATCTACTTAACTGAGAATGTTGTCTCCATCACTTCATGAGCCAAAATAACTATATACCAATGTAACTTTTTTGTTTGCTGATGACAACAATGTACATGACATGATGTATTCCCGAAACATTTAAATAGTGTGTCTTCATTAGGGATGACAATAACAAAGTAAAAGTTTATCATTTACAAATTATGATTGTTTGCAATGAATGACTGTTCAAATAGTTCTTTGTGACGCCTGTCCAGCACAAAGTATCACATTTTCCTCACTTATAAATGAAAACAAACCTCTTAGGCTTAGGTGGCGAGTGGCTGTTTGTCCAAAGCGGTTCTCCAGCTCTGATCTGTAAACACAAAAGAAAAGATCTTTGAAACAAGCGATTCTGACAGGTCGAACAATGCAACCCATGCTACAACGCAAGCTTTACTTTCCATTGTATGAGTGAGGTTTATATCTGACCTGAAAGCCTGAAAGACCGATTTCTGGAAGATGACAATGCGGATAAGTTTGAGGCAACTTGGTTTCAAGTCCATAATAGCTGAGGTCATGCCATCCAGCAACGCTTTACATGCTTTGGTCAAGTCCATATTAGCTGCACCTGATGGGATATAAAGAAGACACCAATGATGCTTATTATACTGCTGCAGTGACTGGTTGGGACCTTTATTTTGAAATGTGTCAAATTGGTATCATTGTTTTCTAACTTGGAAATAACTGAATGGCTCTTCTTCTACTTGAACATGTTATTATGTATATATTTGTGAAATTTGTAATCAAGTTAACTAGATAGAAAATCATACAACATTTGGATCATTAAGACACATTTGGTGTCAAACATAATGCAAAGTACACATTAACACACACAGTACTAACCAGTGTTAACAGCAGGGAAGGACACTGAGCTGTAGCCTTTGCTCTCACACTGCTTCAGTATCTTTTTGCAATTCTTACGAATCACTTCATGGTCACTCTTGAAACTAGCATGTATGATTTCCTTGCAGGCAAGCCCCCCAGGTCCTGTAGTACACATGAAGTCTGCAGGAGTTCCCACTGCCAGAAACAATATTAAGAACATATGATATATGAAAAACCATCATGTTGGATTGTGTATAAAATGTTGGTTTTGTAAAAATGAAGCCATGTGCAGCACACATTTAAACCACATTTTATGAACATCTCCGCAAGTAAATGTGATTTATTATCCGTCTCTGTCCTCCTTTGTGTGATGAAGTGTTGAAGTGCTTACCTTGTGCCAATTGTGTATGGACACTGGGCCCCGCTGCAGTCAGAATGGCTTTAGACACACCTATGGAGTTTTAAAACACACATTTACTTTAGGATATTTTGTATGAATATGCTGTATAAAAAGCCTAAAAAAATATCACCAGTGTGAGGTGCCGTGGTACTCTACAGTTTTATTGAAATCAAAACATTTAGAAAATGAATCATACCAGATTGGTTGTTGGAGAAGTCAGTTGTGTTGACAATGACATCAGTGTTCTCCTTAGTGATGTCACCAACGGCCATCTGAAGCTTGATACCACCCAACATGGCTGTGACCTCATCGTTAGTTGCGGAGATATGGCGATAAAAGGAAGCTGGCATGTCAATCAAAAAAGAAAGTTCATTACAAAAATATCTCCCGGCGGCGCTCGTGTGACAGGCTTTTACAGTTGAGTAGTTTCTATCTATTCACGATTTATTTGTATTAACTGCAAACAATACGAGCTACCATTTATATATATATATATATTTTTTTATCCTTTATTTATCCAGGAATGTCCCATTGAGATACAAGATCTCTTCTTCCAGGGAGTCCTGACCAACACGGCACACAACAAGTTTCAACATAAAAAAAGGGCATTAAACAAAAAACATACAATTCAAATATAAATACAGAAGGCCATTTGTGCAGTGGCAAGAAGAAGATATATTTGATATGGCATCTCTTTTTTTAAATATACTGCTACTTTCTTAACCACCGTGTACTTATCTGCTATTAGTTTAGTTGCTTATTGTGTTTTTTATTAATAATAACGTGTGTATACTAAAGCACCCAGATATTGTTCTAAACTGTATTAAATTAAACAGGTATTATCTTGAACTGTATTGAAGTGAACATGTATTATTTGGGACTGTATTGAAGTGAACATGTATTATTTGGGACTGTTTAAAGTAATCCTATATATCTAAACCTTCTTACTTACACTCCATGACCCAGAGACCCTGACACACACACACATACACCTCCTGTCTCCATGCAGCACACACACATAAACTCCTTAACCCAGATATCAGCAACACACACACATACGCCTCCGCTTATCAGCATGCACACACACACACATACACTTTCCCTCACTAACACACACACATATTCTTTTTTCAAGGTTCCTTGCTGGGAAATTAAAGGAGTTGGGTCCGGTGGAAGATAAGAAGTGGCTCTCCACCTCAAAAATATATCCATATATACTGTTGTGTAGTCATGCAAAATGCCCCCTGTTTCTGACTGGCTGGTCCCGATATCTGTATCGCACGGCAGTAGAGCGGGGAGCCCGGAGTGTTCTGTTTCAGGGCACTCTGTATTTCGTATTGTGTTTTTTACTGTATTAAAATCAGATTATTGTTATAACTTTTATGCCGGTGTGTTGAACTCCCTCTTTTATCAATCTGACCAGGCTCATCTAAAGGACGGCGCGGAGCAGAGGTGGGCTTTAAGCCACCACTATTGGGTTTGCTCCTACAATCCTTACATAAGTCTATTCTCTTTACTTTATCTGCACTATACTTCTGCTATTGTAATAATGTACATTTCCCCGTTGCGGGACAAATAAAGGAATTCTGATTCCGATCTGATATATACGTAAAAGCAACTTGTAGCATGTTAGCATTAACTTAAAACGTTTTAATATGGTGGTGGGTAGCCTATTTAATGTTTTTCTTCCCTTTTGCGGCCTAACAATGTTTGTTACAGCCCTAGAAATTATAGAAAACAAGCAGATTGTCAAAGTATTGCTGAAAATAACTGAATATCCACAATAACCTTGGTCTGGGTCAGCATCGTTTGTGAACCCTCTGAGATGCATGGTGTCCTGGCAAGACTGGAAGGCCTGGAAAGACAGTGTAAATGGTGTTGTTCCGGTTCCACATGCAAAATGAAAAAACTGTTATATGTCTTTTTGTTACCAGGCATTGCCACTACTTTTTTTTTTACCTTGCTCGATTGGGTGGATTGGACGATAATACGGACTACGAAAGATGTTCCAGTGATTCGGTTATGTTCAAATTGACGGACTTCCTCCATTATAACCCTCGCTGCCACGCTGTGAGGGAAACGTAGAGCAGCACCGACCCCCAGCACAGGGAGAGCAACTGAACTGTAGCCACGGATCTGACAGGAAGCCAGAATTCTTCTGATGCCATTTCTCAAGACCTGGAAGATTCAAGCATTATCAAGATCAGTACACCCCTACGTTTTATTGAGTAGGAAAAACTAAACAAAGACATAAAATCTAGTAACAGATTGGTTGCATGGCTTCACCTGGACAGCAGTTCCCTGTTGGTTATTATCCCAGGGAGTGAGGTTGATGAAGAACACTCCTCTAGATTGAAGTGCAGGCAAGCCCTCCACCAGGATTATTTCACCAGGAATTGTAGCTCCGCCTGCTTCGTTATAAAACGTTTCAGTCAGCTGAGGTCCTACCATGTTGGACAAAAGGTTTCCAACACGGGAAGAGAGAGGATCATGGCCAACCATGGGGGACACAAGGCCATCCACCTAGGAGAATACAATCATCTAATGACATCCAATTTATGATTTAAATGACAGTTTTTTACATCAGTACACAGCAATTACAGCAGATTAGCTTGTCCTTAATCAAGTGACCAAAGTTACATTAATGCATCATCTTAGCGTAGAAGCTCACCTGCTGGTTCTCGATAGATCCCTGAATGATCTCTACATGGACACCCCCTCCAGGAGCTCCAGCAGTGGCTCCTCTTGCTGCGGATTGGGCAGAAGCATCCATATGAAACCCCAGATCACTTGGTGCCCTGTTTCCGGTACTTGTTCCTTGGAGAAGCCGATCACATGCATCCTTCATGGACCTCACCACCTCTCCTCTGTTATCAATCAGGATGATTCTTCTAAGGCTTCGCCCTCCCTGGCTGCAAAACTCCTTTACAGCAGTTACAATAGCCTCAGAGCACACAGTCACAGGTACACCAAATAAACCTGAGCTGATACAGGGCATAGCTATAGATCTGAACTCCATCATCTCTGCTAAATTCAAAGCAGACTTGACAGTTTTTTCCAGTAACACCCTTTCTTGTCCACCAGCTTTTCCACTTACAGGCCCAACAGCATGAACCAGACTCTTGCAGTTTAAGTTCCCCCCTGTGGTCACTACCGCGTCACCAGTGGGAATTTTCCCAGTCTGCTTTACTAAAGCTCTGCTTTCCTTCTGCACCTGAGGGCCACCTGCTTTAGACAGTGCTGCAGCGACCCCTCCACTATGGTCCAGATCTTCGTTGGCAGCGTTCACCAGGGCATCAGCTTCCTGTTTGGAGATGTCACCCTGGCACACAAGCACCTGGAGCCCGTCACGAAGGCTGTAGCTAGCAACTGTTGTGTTTACTTGACCTGCGCCTGCATCAGATGCAAAAATCTGTCTAGTAGCGTAAGCTTGTTCTTGGAGCTGTACGAGACACTTCTGAGAATGAGCATATCTTAAAATGTTGTCCCTTCCAGAGCTGCTTTCAATATACCGCACTGCCCCTGGCAATTCAATGATGACTCTGCCCTTATCAAGGGAGTCCAAAAATGTAGCGAGCCTATTCCTAACATCAGTCACTTTGCCAGATGGACCTTCCAGCAATATTGTGGGCCGAGAGGAAGATATTAAAGGACAGAAGGTAACCCCTGAATAATCAAAACCATGCAGCTGCAACAATTCAGGTAACTCAAGCGCTAACTCTGGGTAAGGGAGATTGACTTTGCCCTCTATGCTAGCATGATCCAAAATAAACTGTATGACAACTTCATTTAGCTCTTCAACCTCTTTGGTGTGCCCAAGTAAGAACACACTGCTGTCTGCGCCAAACACAACCTTGGACCTGTATTGCCCTTGGTTCATCTCCTTTGTCTCGGACTTTAGCTTTTCCTGAAGCTCAGATGGCACAGCGGAGCAGTTAGGAACATCAATCTTGACTTCCTTGAATTTTTCCTGTAGTTTTTGTTGGATATCATTCAATTTATCAGCAGAGAGACTGAAGAAACGCAGCTCCGTTTCCCGTAACTCTACTTCGGCATTGTCACTAAACCCTAAGAATTGTCCAAGCACCCCTGGACCTCTGTATACATTTCTCAAGAAGGAAAGAAAATGTGGGCTCATGTCAGAAACTGTCCTTTCGAATACCAACTTCTCCTGATCAGAGATCCGATCTTTAGCTTTAAGAATATCCTCGACAGAACCTTCCAAATGCAACTGACCTGGAGCTCCCTGCGTGACCTTCACTCCTGGAAAGTCTTTTTGCAAAGTGTGCTCAATCTCTTTCCAGAGGAGGCGGAGCTTAGCCTCGCCCAGTCGACAAATGCAAGTTTGCCTCTCAAGTAACCGTGGCCTTTGTTTACCAAGCAAGGCTTCTACATCCATCAACTTGGCGTTCACCTGAGAACGCTGCCCAACAACAACAGCCATCCCATTCTCGCTGTAGACCTTAACGTCATTGGTGGTCTGAAGAGAGTTCCTGGACTCAAGCAAAGCTACAACTTTGTGAGGGTCCACCTCACAGTGGCACAGGTAACCATCAAAGAGTTGGTCAACCTCTGCTCTCCAATCTCCAACATAATCTGCAGCACCAGGTTGAGTAAAACAGCTAACTAAAACCCTCCCTTCCTCTGGGTACAGCTGAGCAGAGCAAGCCAAAGAGACTAGTTCTATCTCCAGTCCTTCCCAAGCCTTTGGGCATTCCTTCAGGTATTGTAAAAGGTAAGTGTCAGGTTGTAGTTCATATTCTTCAGGCGGCTCCTGATGGAAAGATATCAAGTTTCATTTTTAATACAGAACCGTTTTAAGGAGTTATGGAAGTTCAATCAACATATGCCATCTATGAACAAGACTATTTTAAATTAAAGTGCTGGGATGCTTTAACAATGAATTGGAAATACCCTAAAACTAGTTTTATACACAATCATTTTCAATTGTTCGTATCAAACTGAGTAGGTTTCTTTTGCTCTGAGACACTAATTAGGAAGACTTTCCACACTGACCTGCGATGAAGGTGAGTCCAGTTTTAGGCTAACTAACTTGCTTGTAGTTGGGGTAGTGATGGGTGAGCAGGTGGGTCTTTCTCGCACATTCAGCACAAGATGAACATCTGCAAACTTTACTTCATGTTTAGATTTCTGCAGGACTCTTTGCTGATCTGAGACAGAAAAAGGAGACATTTTAGGCCCTTTGTCTTGAAAGCATCCCCAGAGAGACTCAAAACAACAATGAAAAGATTGAAGCCTCTACAAAGAGAGGCAAAAAAGCACAGAGCTGTTCAACGACCACAATCAAATAAAACCATCTTTTAACAGACAAAATAACCCAAACTAGATTTAAAACGGCCTTAAAACGACCCCAAGAGATGTAAGGCAAGACAAGGCAATACATGTAAGCACCCACAAAGAGAAACAAAACATCTGGAGACATATTAAAGCATCTACAGACACACAACAACCACAAGGGGTGCAAAACAACTACGAAGAGAAACCAAACACCTACAAATGGATGCAATATAAACTAGAGACACAAAACCTAAACTAAAGTAGATACGACAACTGCAAACAGACACACAACAACCACAAGGGTGTGCCAAACATTCACAAAGAGACACCAAACGCCCATTAAAGAATGCAATATGAACTATGCAGAGAGACAAAACAACCATAAAGGAATGCAAAATGACTACATAGAGCAGTGCTTCTCAAAGTGTGGTCCGCGAGCGCCCCCTAGTGGTCCGTGAGTATATTGGTAACATTTCACATTTTTAATTAATTAATTAATTAACGTTTTCCGCACTCTCGCGGGAATATCTCCGCAATGGAGCGAGCTTAAGTTTCACTTTCGATTGCATGATATAACCCAGATAAACACCTTCATCACACATGTGGCCACTTGTTTGTACAATTTTCAGGAGATTTGTAAAAAACGATGTGTTTTTGGATATTTGTGGAGTTAGGTGGTCCGCGAGTGTTTTTTTATTGGTTAAGTGGTCCTTGGTATGAAAAAGTTTGAGAAACACTGATCTAGACATATTAAAGCATCTACAGACCCAAAACAACCACAAGAGGCTGCAAAACAACTACGAAGAGAAACCAAACACCTACAAATGGATGCAATATAAACTAGAGACACAAAACCTAAACTAAAGTAGACGACAACTGCAAACAGACACACAACAACCACAAGGGTGTGCCAAACATTCACAAAGAGACACCAAACGCCCATTAAAGAATGCAATATGAACTATGCAGAGAGACAAAACAACCATAAAGGAATGCAAAATGACTACATACTGTAGAACCAGAAAGAGGGGCAAGCCAACTAGAAAGAGATTCAAAAACAGACGAGATACAAATCCACTAAAGACATGCAAAGTGACGAAGAGAAAAGCAAAACAACAATACCATGCAAAATAACCATGCAAAGCCAGACACCAGAAAGTAGAAATTATACAGTTGACGAACACAATACAATTTGTTTTTAATATGCTGAGTCCAAGGTTCATTTTGTACATTTTGAGGAGCAGTCTGAACTCCCTGTGAAAGTGAAACTAAAAGGATATGTTTCTAAATGTAGACTGAGAACGTTGATATACAGCACAGTGTGAAAGAGGAATATCGACACTGAAAAGGTATAGATGTAGCTCTGTAAGCAGAAACATAAATCTGTCTGTTTGATTAAAAAGCAAAAAGTATGGAATGAGATCAACATGTTTACAGTGCAGCCATACTTTCACTTTCGCCAGCCAAAGCACTGCGTATTTAAAGAAAACATCGACATGACCCTGTGAACGGACATCATTTAAAAGCTTACCTGCTCTGTCATTAAACGCAATTCGGTACACTTTATTTTCTTGGTTTGTTATCGAACCGCATTCACCACCTCCTGATTTGCGACGATTTCGAAAGTAAAGTTCTGCCCTCTTTTTACTTTCTCCGTCCAGATTAGGACACTCGAAGAAAACGGGATACTGGAAAGCGTCATCCATAATGTAAACACTTGATAAACTAAACAATTAAAATGTATAGCCACATTACAGGACGATTAAACACTGGTGTACCCGGGTTGAACGCAGTCGTCTCAAGTGCAGGCTCAGGGGTTTCCTTCAGAATTTAAACTGACGTCTCTCGAGCAAAATCACGCGTGACTTCAACGAGACTTCCCACTTCCAGGGGTGTCCAGTTGTTTAGTCAACAACGCATATAATAATCTAACTAACACTTACTGTGGAAAGCCCGACAGAACAACTTTGAAATCACACAGTTTATAAATAATCGGTGTAAAATTATGGAATAGATTTAAACCCATTGTCATCAACAATTCAAATCTAGATTTAGAAAAAGAATATTAGCAGACTGCACAAATTTACCAAAAATGTCTATTCCTAAAATAAAATAAAGGGTAAAAAACAGTGAACAGTCCTTGTGTTTGGGTTTTCCATAAAAATAAAAAAAATAAAAATAGGATGAGAACTACTGTATTGTAAGCATACACGGAATAGTATGAATAATTTTCCTCTTTATTGATTTGGTATTGCATTTCCCTTTTGCCCTGGAAATTACCTTTTTTTAAATCCTATCTTGAAATCTGAAGTGTGTGTGTGTGTGTGTGTGTGTGTGTGTGTGTGTGTGTGTGTGTGTGTGTGTGTGTGTGTGTGTGTGTGTGTGTGTGTGTGTGTGTGTGTATTGTGTGTGTGCCATAGGGCCTACATTGCAAGAACCACAAGCCCAATCCATGGTTAACAGTTTATTACATGTCAGAAAAAAAATCTATTGTTTACATAAAATAAAAACATATTATAATCATGATTTTACATAATTTGAACCATTACCCAAATTGAATTACATCTTGGAAATTAATGTGATAAAGTGAGTATATGAAATATTTATTATAGCAAAGCAGAATAGGTTAATTATTTCTTGAACTCTACCAATGGTATACAAAAAATACCTTAAGAAATGAAAAGAAAAAAACACTTTGAAAGGAAATATGACAATATTCTATATTGAATAAGAAATGAGCACCAAGGCTGTCTGTAGTTATCTCTCCCCGGCTACTATAAAGGAAGCAACTTAAAATAAATCTTGTCCTCGGAATTTGTCAATGACTAATCTGCATTAAGTGTTACCTTTATAAATGATGTTCTACCATCTTCAGGTTGTGATTTATTTACATGTGCCATTAAAAAACCCCAGAGAACAGTCAGTGTAGAGTAAGCTTATATAAATAGACCGGTGGGTTTAAAAAAATGTAGGCCTACTATAAGGCGCAGATACAATTAAGAGATTCCCCTTCTCTCCTTTCATACCACTTCCCATCTCTCTTCATGGCTGTAGCCCTGTCACAACCCTCAATCTTCTCGTCTTGGGCCCAGTTGTCATAGCAGACCAGACGATCACTGACCCAGAACCACAGATCCAGAGTGCAGGTGTAGCGCATTCCCAGCCAGACGAACTCAGTGTCGGCCATCTTGGCTCTCTTTTCGACCCATCTCTGCTGGTGACGGTCAGTGATGGAGACCAGGTCACGGTGCTTCTCTCTGCAGTAATCCAAGGCCTCATCCCAAGTCTTCTTCTCTTTGATCAGGATCACTTTGTCTGTCATTAATTGAAGACATGTAAGTGAACACAGGGGGCTTTGTTGGTGTTTATTCAATTATTTAGATCCCTGTGCTTCAATATTACAAACAATGTTCATAGACAGAGAGGGTGGGTATAATTTGAGAGGAAATTTACATTTTAAACAACTCAAGGTCAGAACAACTCGGAAAAGTATGTGCATAATAATAAATGTTATGGAATGGTTTGGAGCAGGAGTTAAAAAACAAACCTCAAATATAATTCAGTTTAAAAGGATGTACAGAAACACTTTTTTGGAAAACTATGAGAATGAAGAAAGGTGATTGAAGATGATACATTATTGTAAATGTATGTATAAATGTAAATATGTAAGTAGGAATAACTTGCAGAAATGATTTAAAGGATAATCATTGATCAGCAGTAAGCAAGGGGTGTGAATGAATAAGCATTTGCTTCCTCCTGCTCCCTTTCGGACAAATATGATTTATTATTATTAATATGAACATTTTTGTTGAATATATAAATATTATTATGAATATTGATACATATTGTATTTTAACAATACAGTATTCTGTTTTTCACATTTGTTATTTCTTAATCTGTTCGAAATAAAGTTTGAAGTGAAAATCAAATGAAATGAATATGGTCCAACGCTCAATATCCCAATCATTGCTTGTACGTTTGGTGCTCATGTTAAATATCTTTAAGAATGTCTGAAGCAGATTAAGTGACCTTTTATCTTAAAGCTAGCAATGTCATAACTCCAACATTAACATGATTAAAAAACCTAAATGTAGAATTAAATGAAACACTTAGCCTGCTATAACAACATTTAAATTGTGTGAACAGATATCTGTGACATGACGAATCGATATTTCAGTTCTCATAATATTTTGGTCACGTTTCTTTTAAATGTAGTATTTATTCCTTGATGACAGAGCAGAGACAGTTTCCATAAGTGTAATTTTATGAAGAAATATATCATCAAATATCAATCAAAGTCAATCACATTCAACACAGAATAAAATTCAACATGTATGCATATACAAGTATTTACGGTAATATTGTGGGATAGACTTTTGCAAAACTCACCGTCATAGCAGTAGAAGGGTTTTTGATTTGTGCAGATGTCGGAGCTCCATTTTCCATCTGGCTTAGTCATAGCACATGTCTTTGAGGCTTCATCTTCAAATGAGTCCTCCCAGTGTCTGAAAGAGAAATTCTTCCCATCTGACCAACTCCAGGTGTCTCTGAACAGGCCGATCCACAGATCTTGTTTTTTGTGTTTTTCGGTATTTTCCTTGATCTGTTCAAGTCCACTGACCAGATCAGTGTGATGTTCTCTGCAGTAGCTCTGAGCCTGAAGCCAGTTCTTCTTACCAGGACCCAAATGGTATGTTTGTCCCATAGCTGTGTGAATAAACAGAGTTAAGAGGTACACATTCTTAGGATCTCCTCTTCGTCATATGTTACTACTTAAAACAGGTGAAACTATTAACAGTAACATTTGCATAATTCCTCTGATGTTTTAGAATGACGTGAAAGTTTGTGTTGTCTTACAACGGTAAAAATCCCATGCTACCATTCATCGTTTTGTTTGCTTTTTAAACATTAACATTACAATTGTCAATCACAAAAATGTATTATTTTATTTTTTCTTTAACAGTCATATTACAATATTGCACAATGTAGCTTTACCACTCTCAAGGCTACCCATGCAGAAAAAGAACAATTCCAATAATTTGTTATTATTAAGACTTCAATTACAATATGATTTGAACAATAAATAGGCAATACAAAAAGCAAACTAGCAATTAAGTAAGAATAAGAAAACAATTATACTTACCAGAAATATATACAGTTACTTACATGGGCAATGTGTACAGTATATGCATATAAATAGTATATCATATACATGTTTTGAATTATAGTGCAAACGTTGGTTATAGTTGACTGTATAAAGAAGAGGTGTGTGTCCACTAGACCAGGGGTTCCCAACCTTTTTTCCCAAGAGCCCCCCCCAAATCACACACCACACACACACACACACACACACACACACACACACACACACACACACACACACACACACACACACACACACACACACACCACACACACACACACACACACACACACACACACACACACACACACACACACACACACACACACACACACACACACGGGGGGGGCAACAGCGGTAATTAATGTTTAAAACTCTCAAAATGCTACAACTACTGTCACAAACTGGATGAATGTGAAGTATTTTGATAAAGGAGGATGAAAGCGTAATTAAGGCGCACTATTGGAGTGACTTTGATGGTTATTGGACTCCAATTCATTTGGATTCCCGCTGTATGAAGAAATGAAAGGACGGCGCGGAAGTGGAAACAATTCACAAAGGGATTAAACTGTTTAAAACACATGCTCAAAGTAAGCCAGATTTTGCCGATGTGTTTATGTGGATTCAAAAGTCGTAAATAATCTACAAAATGGAGGAGCAACTAGGACAAATAATTCAACTGAAACCGACATGGACAATGACTATGTTTTAAAAATGCGCTTATCCAGAAAAGCCTGGTTTGGACACTTTACGGGCGGAAGAAACATTTCTACTAAAGAAAGAATTATACATTTCTGTCTTTTTATGCCTTTAATAGCCACTAACTTGAATTGTTAATTAATCAATTATTTTTTAGATTGTATTGTAATGTAGAGACAAGGCTTTTAGTGACAATCATGTATTGCTTTAAAAAAAAAAAAAAAAGTCTAAATATGATATTTGGCCTCAAATCATCTGAGGCCTGGCGCCCCCCTTGCGATCTTTGGCGCCCCCCAGGTTGGGAACCACTGCACTAGACAGCATGATTTGCTGAATACACATAGCACCATTATTAGCCACATATTCTCACCATTGTAGCAGATGAATTTATTATCTTCAGCGCAAGATTCAACATCCCATTTGCAATCATCATTCTCATCATTCTCATCCATCTCAACACAGTTCTCAGAATCTTTTGGCTCTCCATTATCCCACAGTGCCTCAGATTCTTTGTACTCCACCCCCGGCAGAGACCAGCGCCATGGTTTGTTACCGCCTCTTTTGGTGTGCATGTGCAGTCCAATCCAGATGCCTGTAGTCTGTGAAGAGTTACGCATTCTCTCCATGTCTCTCATGTCAGACACTGTGGCCAGGTCAGTGTAATTCTCTCTGCCATAACTCTGGGCTTCATACCAGGACATTTCCTTTCGAATGAAGTGGTACTCATAGAGGTGACATGTGAAGATGAAACACTGATCTAAAAACAGAGGGAAACAAATAAAAACATATATATATATTAGAAATCTTATTTCAAATGTGGGCTTTAAATGTAGATTGAAAGGTATTGATTTTAGAACGAAAAATGTAAGCAGATGATCCACTCACCCATCAGAATGAGCACAAAAAGACTCCACTGCATCTTTGCTCTGTTAGATGAAACTGATATGACACAATTCTTCCAGGTTATAAAAAACACTCCTTCGGAAAGTGTTGTCTAATAAGGAAGGGGATGATAAGAAATATGCAAACCACATGTAAGTTACTTGTAAAATACACATAAAGAAAAACTGTCGTATACGAAAATGTAGATAATCTATATAAAAGCAGATGTTCTGGTGTTTATGATGATTATAATCATGCACATGCGATATGAGAGGAACCAGTTACAATACGCAAGTGTGAATCAGTCAATTCCTGCCACATTTAAACATTTATTATAAAGAGTTTCTGTAACTGTGTCCACCCTTCGTGAAAGTTATAGAGAATTAAATGATAATAAAGTATACTAGAAATTAGAAATACTGAAGGAAAAAATATACATTCACAATATAATGTGTACTCCTTTTAAAATGTTAAACTTATGTAACGTACAATAAATATCTCTAAGAACCAATCAACTCTATCAATAATAAGAGACAAAGGTTAAACTTACGCTGGTTTCTTCTGTCCTCGCTTCACTCTCTGCGTCGTACTGGTTTACACTTCTCCCAATAGACGTTTAATATGTCGCTAATTTACTGCCAGCATTTGAATATTACAACAGAAAATATTAAGATCTCTGTCGCGAACATTGATCCAAAGCAGAAGTCCATATCAGTTATGACAGGATATTTACATACAGTAATGTAATGGAAAAAAACAGAGGTGGGACACGGAAAGCTGACTGTCCAACAAACATGGTTTGAAAAATGCTGAAAACTACACTGATGAAAAGTTTGGAAATAACTACAGAAATACAATTCATAAGCTGATGTGTTTAACAACAGGGAGAATACAGTTTGAACCAATTAAACCCAAATATCGTATCTTTTTTTATTTGTTTTACAGTCCAGAGTGTGTTTGTTTCGACCCATGACGAAATATGAACCGAGTCATTGCTTTGTAATCAGCTTCATTTTAATCTACTTTTTATATATGTATTTATGATTTATTCAGTTGTATTTTTTTTTTTGCTTTGATTTTTTTTTTACTTACCTATACTTTATGTAAAGATATGAGTTTTATATTCTGAGAAAAATGCCTCTGTTAATTAAATAAGAAAAATAAAAAAGAATAATGTAAGTAACCCTGGAGCAGCACGCCTGTTAAATAGACTGCATTTTATACGGTGCTTTTCCAGTGTTTTATGAGCCCTCAAAGCGTTTTACATAAACAAGTCAGCATTCACCCGTTGTCACCTATTCATACAGAAATTAACATTCACACGTGTCAAGCACCGTTTAGTCTTACGTCTAAAGGGGTTTCTTACGGGAGAACGGAGACAATAACATACAACAACCAATACTCAGTCGGAATAGAAGTAGTTGCAGTGGTGGTTCTAGACTAATTTTACTAGGAGGGGCCGTGATTGGGCCACTAATCTAATGAGAGGCATATTTAATGCAGGAAGAAGGAGATTTAAAATGTTTTTGTTTAAAGTCATAGCACTAAAGTTGTGCTTAGTTATAAAAGAAACAATGGGACATTTCATTAT